GAGCAGTGGGTGGGGGCCCTAAATTATAATAAGGGGGGGACCTAATGTCCTCCCCCCTGGTCCCAACCCCTGAGCGGTGGGTGGGGGCCCTAATGTCCTCCCCACTGGCCCCTACCCCTGAGTGGCGGGTAGGGGCCCTAAATATTAATAAGTGGGGGGACCTAATGTCTCCCCCTGTCCCCCACCCCTGAGCGGTGGGTGGGTGCTCTAAATACCAATAGGGGGTTCCTATTGTCCTCCCTCCCGGCCCCCACCCCTGAGTGGCGGGTGGGGGCCCTAAAAAAAAATATTAACCCTCCTCCCAGGTGACTAGGGGTCCCCAAACCCCTAGGCACCCCCTACCCCCAAAAAAATTAACCCCCTACCTACCCCCCCCTCACCCTAAAGTAACCATTATGAGTCAAATTACACAGGGTGGAAAAATTCCAAAGAAATTTCCCACGCTGTGTAAAATGACACAGAGCACTCTGGTGGATTTCAAACCAACCAATCAGAGTGCTGTGACAGGTAAATGTAGAGACTTACCTGTCAGTCTCTTCATTTACATAGTTACATAGCTGAAAAGAGACTTGCGTCCATCAAGTTCAGCGTTCCTCACATTTGTTTTTTTGCTGTTGATACAAAAGAAGGCAAAAAAAACAGTTTGAAGCACAATTTTGCAACAATCTAGGAAAAAAATTCCTTCTTGACCCCAGAATGGCAGTCAGATTTATCCTTGGATCAAGCAGTTATTACCCTACATTTACCTGTCAGAGCACTCTAATTGGATGGCTTAAACCCACCAATCAGAGTGCTCTGAGCCTAGTTGCAGGGCGGGGCAAGGCTTTATAAGCCTTGCTCCGTCTGCGTGCAGCCCTCGCCGGGTGAAGATGGATAATTATTTTTTTGCGCTTGTATTTTTTTTTTTTTTATATATATAATTGCGTCAGTTATTATGGTTTTTTTTATTTGGCCTTTTTTGGGGCTGAAAAAATAAGATTTTAGAAGAAAGAAAACATCGAATGGTAAGTTTTTGTGGTTTTTTTTAAGGTACTTAGTTAAAGGTCCCCAACTCATTATTTTTAGGGTGAGGGGGGTAGGTAGGGGGATAATTGTTTTTGGGTGGGGGAGGGGGTGACTAGGGGTTTGGGGACTGGGGGGGGGGGCATTTTTTTTAGGGCCCTCACCCACCGCTCAGGGCCGGGGAGGACCTTAGGTCCCCCCCCTTATTAGTATTTAGGGCCCCCACCCACCGCTCAGGGGGCAGGACATTAGGTTCCCCCCCTTATTCTTGTTTAGGGCCCCCACCCACCGCTCAGGGGTGGGGGCCAGGGGGGAGAACATTAGGTTCCCCTTATTCTTGTCTAGGGCCCCCACCTACCGCTCAGGGGTGGGAGCCAGGGGGGAGGACATTAGGTCCCCCCCCCCTTATTAGTATTTAGGGCCCCCACCTGCTGCTCAGGGGTGGGGGCCGAGGGGGGGACATTAGAAACATAGAATGTGACGGCAGATAAGAACCATTCGGCGAATCTAGTCTGCCCAATTTTCTAAATACTTTCATTAGTCCCTAGCCTTATCTTATAGTTAGGATAGCCTTATGCCTATCCCACGCATGCTTAAACTCCTTTACTGTGTTAACCTCTACCACTTCAGCTGGAAGGCTATTTCATGCATCCACTACCCTCTCAGTAAAGTAATACTTCCTGATATTATTTTTAAACCTTTGTCCCTCTAATTTAAGACTATGTCCTCTTGTTGTGGTAGTTTTTCTTCTTTTAAATATAGTCTCCTCCTTTACTGTGTTGATTCCCTTTATATATTTAAATGTTTCTATCATATCCCCCCTGTCTCGTCTTTCCTCCAAGCTATACATGTTAAGATCCTTTAACCTTTCCTGGTAAGTTTTATCCCGCAATCCATGAATCAGTTTAGTAGCCCTTCTCAGAAACCTCTCTAAGGTATCAATATCCTTCTGAAGATACTGCGTACAATACTCCAAGTGAGGTCTCACCAGTGTTCTGTACAATGGCATGAGCAGTTCTCTCTTTCTACTGCTAATACCTCTCCCTATACAACCAAGCATTCTGCTAGCATTTTCTGCTGCTCTATTACATTGTCTGCCTACCTTTAAGTCATCAGAAATAATCACCCTAAATCCCTTTCCTCATATGTTGAGGTTAGGACTCTATCAAATATTCTGTACTCTGCCCTTGGGTTTTTACGTCCAAGATGCATTATCTTGCACTTATCCACATTAAATGTCAGTTGCCACAATTCTGACCATTTTTCTAGTTTACCTAAATCATTTGCCATTTGGCTTATCCATTCTGGAACATCAACCCTGTTACATATCTTAGTATCATCAGCAAAAAGGCATACCTTACCATCAAGACCTTCTGCAATATCACTAATAAAAATATTAAAGAGAATGGGTCCAAGTAAAGATCCCTGAGGTACCCCACTGAAATCTAGGTAAGCAATGTCTACTGCACAACCCTGATCTATAATTTTAGTTACCCAATCAAAAAAATCAAAAAGATTAGTTTGGCATGATCTCCCTGAAGTAAACCCATGTTGTCTCTGATCTTGAAATCCATGTGTTTTTAGATGTTCATCAATCCTATACTTTAACATGGTTTCCATCACTTTCCCCACTACTGAAGTAAGGCTTACTGGCCTATAGTTGCCCGACTCCTCCCTATTACCTTTCTTGTAAATGGGCACAACATTCGCTAACTTCCAATCTTCTGGGACTACTCTTGTTAACAATGAATGGTTAAAAAAACAACAACTTAGTATTAGTAAATTTTGCCCCTAAAAAAAACTTAGTATTAGTAAATTTTGCCCCTACTCGCTGTACTGCGAGTAGGAGCATGTCTATTAAACAGTGAGCAGCCTGTCGCTGCTCACTGTTTAGAAAAACAGGAATAAGGTCCCCCCCTTATTCCAATTTAGGGCCCCCACCCGCAGCTAATGGGTGGGGGCCAGGGGGGAGGACAATAGGTCCCCCCCCCCATCATTTTACTTTGGGGCTGGGGGGCAATTTTTTTTTTTTTTAAACAGTGAGCAGCGACAGGCTGCTCACTGTTTAATAGACATGCCCCTACTCGCGGTATAGCGAGAAGGGGCAAAATTTACTAATACTAAGTAATTTTTACTTAGTATTAGTAAATTTGGCTGAAAGACCAATTTAGGTCTTTCAGCCTTTTGGTAGATAACTCCCTAATACCATGGGATTTAGGGAGTTATCTACTAAGCGCTGCAATAGAAGTCCCGAGGTGCCGAGGTGCCGAGGTGCCGAAGTCCCGAAGTAGCAGAAGTTCTGAAGTCTTGAAGTGCCGAATTGTTGAAGTCCCGAATTGCGAAAATCCCGAATTTCGGAATGCCGAACCGAACCGAAAAATTTCCCCATGCACATGCCTAATAATGTCCGTTTTGCTCAGCCAGGCTCCTACCCCTGCGGTGATAATGGTGTTTATGGCATTGTCTATAGTGGCATACTGAAGGGAAAAATCTTCAGATGGAATTAGCGAGTTAAGGCTCAGTATGGCCAAGGAGAAAGATCTAAAATGAGTCTGTTTTCCACAGGACTTCCATGTGACTAAACTTACAGGGTTGGTTCTCCAATTGGAAAATGGAGCCCCTGAAAAGGTCCCAATAAAAACCCATCTTCCAATTCTCATTGTAACAGAGCATCAACCGTTTCAGCATTCGCAAAAGCTGATTGTAAATTGTTACATTCGTAAATGCCCGCAGGAATATGAACAAGTCCTGTACGAAAGCCTTCTGTAAAGCCATCAATCAGGAAATCCACTAGGTGTTTTGGAAGGGTGAGAAGCTAAGGCGTGAGCCAAAAATCCAACATTTACAGAGGTCAGGTAAGGTTTTGCATGAGTTTTATTAGGAGACATGGACTTGGCATGAGCCCTAAAACAATGAGACGTGCAACAATCTACATTGAAAATATTGCACACCTGTGATTTTCCCAGGTAAACAATAGGACATAAAGTCACAGGTGTGGACTCTGGTCACGGGAAAGTCACAGGTGTGGACTCGGGTAAGATGGGACAATAGTCCGAGGCATGTGAGGTGGATGCACAAATTTCACAAGCCGGTGTCTTCAGTCCGGCAAAGTGTCTGCAAAATAGCTCAGTATCCATGCGGCTCCAGTGAGTTTTGACGTTTTACTGAGCCAAAATTGCAGACGCCCTTGCCGAAAAGGACTGGTGGTAATCATAAAAGGATGAGCAACTGTATTTATTTCCCAAGTCCACCAGCTTCTTCAAATAGAGGTCAAGTTCCTCTTTATGTTTACATGTTGATCCTGAGGAAGACCCGAATGGGTCAAAACGTTGATCAAGCAATTTGTAAACCCTATCTGGATTAAATACTATCAATATTTGTTTAAAGACCAATGAGTGCATCCGTTTTTCAACAATACTATATATATATATATATATAATATATACACACACACACACACACACATACATACTGACATACTGACACACACACAGACATATATACATACTGACATACACACACACAGACATATATACTGACATATATACATACTGACATATACACACACACACAGACATGCATGCATACTGACATACATACTGATGGATATATACATACATACATACACACAGACACACAGACATACATACTGATATATACATGCATACATACTGATAGATATATACATACATGCAGACACATAAATATACACACACACACCTCATTTATCAGCCACCCTCCTCTTCCTTACCTTTAAGTTGCAGGAGGGTGGTTGGGGATGATGGGAGCAGATGCCTCTACTCTCCTCTCTTCTCTCCCCCCCCCAGGAGAGACAGCCGAGGCAGTTTCGCCGCTCCACGTGGGTCCCGGGCGGGGCTCTTGGTGGTTTAGGTATGCGAAAGTGAAACTCCAGCAAGATGGATTTTGCTTTAGCTTGTAGTAGCAGGGAGGCTTGCACAGCCTTGCACAGCCTCTGGTATCCCCCTTATCCTGAGGTTTCACTGGCGCTTAGCGTCTTCCAGTGCCGCCACTTTATTTTCTAATATAGTGCTGGTCTTCTTCATTTGGGCCATTTCCCTTTGCAGGGTTTCAATTTTGGCTGTAGTGGCAGCTTCATTCACCTCCACAGCCTGTATGCGGGCTGTCATGGCACCCAGATCTTCCCTGATTAGGGCCACGTCTGCTGCTGATTGAGCTTTAAGCTCCTTAAGCAGATGGATGATGTCTGCTTTGCTTGCCGGCATTTGTTCAGGAGGTGGAGTACTCTCCCATCTAGTGCTCCTTGCTTCAGCGGCCTCCTCCATACTGTCATCTGAGGAGTGATCAGGGGATTCCCGCGCGGGCGCCATCTTGGCAGGCCGCGGCCGCGGCGTTGCTCTGAGTAAATCGCCGATATTTTGAGAGGACAGCATCGCCTCGTTATGGAGCTGCTTGGATTTGCGTCCCATTGTGTTCTGACCTGCATTGTTAGTGATTGGGCTTTACGGAACTGCCATTTTCGTCCTTTGTAAGTGGATTTCTCCCGGAGCTCAGTTCTCGTACATCTGCTTGGGTAGCTCGCTAGCTCCGCCGCCCCCCCCCCCCCACTTTATCATTTTAAATGCATGATATCACTTTTATGGCACAAGCACTTTGCAACATATAAACTTTAAACACTATGATATTACTGAATCTGGTGATTATAATATCACTGTCTGATTTATTCAGTACACTTAAGTCACTTTATAACATGAGAATATTAGGTTGTATCTTAATATTTACATTTGGGTTCATAGACCCTTTTCACCACATTGTAACGTTTTAATTCATTTTCAGCAAGTCTGCACAAACATTCACTTTTCTTAAACAGCACTAATCACCTATTCATATTTAGTTTCACAGCTTTAGTCTCACTATACAACTACATTTTCTCCTCGTACAGGAGTGAGTTTGGTGTGTATAGGTCACCATGGTGACCGGACTCCACATGACGTCAACACGCACTGGGGGCGGAGCATGCGAACGGATGCGCGCACATACCCAGAAGTTCCTATGGTTCCGATGGGAGGTGGGTGTAACGCACCTGGGTGAGTCTTATCTTTATTATATGGGTATATATTGATTGTTGGTATGCATAATATTTGTTGTCTCGTTATTTTTGACCCTGAAGAAAGTCCCGAACGGGGACTGAAACGTTGGTCGTCATTTTAAACTTTATTCAATAAAATTGTTATTTTTAAAGACCGGAGAGCAGCCATTTTTATTTTGAATTTGTATCATATGGAGCCCTGGTAGATGTGCCCGGCAGTGAAGTGGTTAAAGCGTGAGTGCAGGTGATTGTTGCTTTATATATATATATATATATATATATATATATTAATCCCTGGTCATATCAGTCACAATTAATTCTTTGTAAACCTAAGGCTAAGGCCTCTGTATTCATTGTATAGTCATTTCAGCTGATCTTGGAGTCATACACAAGCTGCACTGCCATTTATAGGTCCATAAAAGCTATCTATTGTATTACTTTGTGGTTTCCTTTTTTTAACAAAGGCTCCTGCTGCAGATTTTTTTGTATGAAACTTAGGCTCAGTAGAAAATTGTCTTAATGTTAACAGAGGCAACACTTTTACAAATCTAAGAGTATAGAAAAAGAATTAGCTATGCAGCACACTCACTGCCCATGGTCAAATTATAAACAAAATTGTAAGGGATGTTGGTGGTTTCATTCTCTAGTGCAACTGTATTTTTTTCTTTTACCACAAGATGTCACTGTGACTTTCCTACAACAAATCATGGTCATTCTTATTGATGTTATCGCTAGCAGAAAAAAATGTAAAACAACCAATATATTGTGTTATAAGTTTATACTTCTAAGACGGTATCTGAAAAGGTCTATTCACGTTTCTGGTCTTAAAGCTTAAGGGAACACTATAGACTCAGGAACACAAACTTGTATTCCTGACCCTATAGTGTTAAAAACCACCATGTATGTGGCACCCACACCCCTTTAAAAGGTAAGATAACTCCAGCGTTTCAAAATAACATCAAATGATTATTCACTGAGCATCTATTTCGTTGTTCGTTCTGTTTAGTGAATCTGCAAACATTCTCTATCATGGCATTTTAAACTAGGAGGCTGAATCCTAACTGATCTTCGTATCTACCTTAATGTAAATACCAAATTAGTGCTGCATCATTTTTCATGACTAGAAATAGTTTTAACCATCCTTTTTATTGACATCTTACTAAAAAACTAATGCGACCTGCTATGTTCATAAAGACATTGTTTTAATATTACGTGAGTTGAAGTTGCATGGTCAGAAACTGAGTAATAGTATCTGCCTTATAGCACAGGAAACCCATCCATCACTGCTGGGTGAGCACAGTTGCACATGTAATACCATTTTTCTTATGTTGCATCACATTAAATTTTCACGCAAAAATCCAAAGGTGGGGGAAGATCATACATGATACAATGGTAAAATGGTACACTTAACACGTTAAGGACCAAACTTCTGGAATAAAAGGGAATCATGACATGTCACACATGTCATGTGTCCTTAAGGGGTGAAACACCCTTACACAGGTCAATGCTTGGTGGTTAAACAAGAAGGAAATGTGAACATTTTTCCTTCACTACTGGATGCACTGGAATGTAAACCCCATCATGCTTAGTCAGGATCTGGCACTACGTGGTAGATGTTTTGCATTCCTTACTGCCATCTCAGGTGCTATAGACTGCTGATCTTAATTACCCTGTTGTAGACTAAGACACCTGAAGTGGAATGTTATCTGCTTTAGACTATGTTTTAATCATACATATATACAGACCATAACTCCAGTGTGGTGAATGAGTGTGTCTGTTATAATTTTCCTAGCGTATTGACAGAAAGGAGGCACCAACATAACATATTTAGTTTAATTAAGCAGTTATGGTGTGTAGATCACAGCCAATGTGACAATGTATTATTCATCCTGTTAGTCTAAAATTGAAGCCCATAAAGAAATAGAATCACTATTTACTAGATTTATCCCAATGAGCATATACTTGCACTTAATTATGCATTTTTTTTTTATTAGGGATATATCTAAAATTGCTTGCAAAAGATTCAGAAGTCTTGCTTTATTGCCCAACTTTCTTCTTCCTCAGCTCACAGACTAATAAAACAGAATTTGTGATAGGAAGGAAGTGTAAACATTAGATGACTCTGTACAGGAAGTGTGCAGGGAGGATGTGTAAGTTACCGGCTGGCAAGGTGTGACTACGCTGCATAAACAAAGTCTATTTGGTTATAGCTGTATACTTCTGCTGTATTTTTACTGTTCAAATATTATTTGCAGCTTTCTGCCGCATAACCTCACCCTTTTAGCGACAATTTGTTGATTCAGAAAATAAAGATTAGACAGGAAAAGACAATTATATTAAGCATCTAAGTAAGGATAAATATGCCCCTTTAACTGCTCTTACATAAATATATAAGAATCTGGATTTTTTTATTTATTCTTCTAAATTTAAAACACATAGGAAGCAGTTATATCTCTAACCAGATTAACATGGATTTTGTTTGCTACTTTAATCTGTTCAGAGCATATCTTGTGGTTCCATGTATAGGCAAAATTAAGGAAAATTTATTTATATTTAGCGTGGTTTTCTTTTCCTGGCTATTATCCATAGCAACATATGCAAATTGTTTAGCTCAACCTCACACAGCAACAACATATTTAATAAGGATTCTCCAACAGTAAAGTAAATACTAGACTAAACAAGGGAGTGAATTATATGCTGCTATGGATAATAGCCAGAGAAAAAAAAACCCATATGGTACATTTCCTGGCTAACCACAACAGGGTTTACAAATGGACAAAAGCACAAGCTTTAAGGGTTGGAACTGGTCAACTGGTCAACTGGTCAAAAGAATCAATGAGTCAATGAGTCAATGTTGTGAAATATAGACAGACGTATGACATGGTTTTAAGGTACCATAACAGAGCTGCAGGCAGAGAAAATTAATTAAAATTAAAAACTCCAAAGATCAGACACCTAGTGTGGAAATCCTGCGAAAAGCAGGAACAGAACACAAAGTGCACATCAAACCACACAAAGCAGCCTCTCAACACTTACCCAGACAGGGATGAAGGCCCAGCAGGTACTTGATATCGGTATTATATTTATATTATTATATTTGATGCAAGTAAAAAAGAAAAAATCTACCGGCATTGTAAGGACTAATAAGTGTGTATTAGAAAAAACGTGTCTGTCATGTATCTGCAAGTTTCTATCCTCTTTACTGGTGATTGGCAAGACTGCTGGTTATGAACAGGGCACGGCATCCCACTGTGTCAGTGGTTGAGTATATAGGGTTAAGTGGACAGAGCCCAACAAGTCAGGTGGGGCAGATTTAAAACTTACCAGACACAACTGATATGTACATGCTGTAGCTAAATGCTTACCGTCATATTTGTGTAAGAATAGGAAATAAAATTCATAGCTCATATCCAATATCCTAAAATTCAATTGTTTTAATGTCCATAATCTCCATAAATCCATTGTAAGAATGCACACTGCTGTAAACAGATGGGATCAAGGTTGTGTCTTCAGGACCATGGCCAGCTATAGTTACAGTTTATTTTAAGCAGATTTTACAAACAGCAAGTAGCTAGAGGCATTACAAAGACTGCAAACAGCATAAAATTGTTACACTGTACATTATTATTTTGATGACAAATTATACCATATGTTTACTGTAAAATACGGAAGAACACTTATTTCAAGCGATATCCATGAGCAGGAATCATACCGCTTTATGCTTTTGCTAAGAGCTGAATTGAGTGTATGAGTGTATTTTTTTTCTTATTCTTTTATAAATATCTTTCGGATGTTTTTATTGGATTACACTGTTGGATTTCTTTCTATTTTTATATATTCCTTGTGAGATGCACATATTCTGAAAGTGTCTGTTCTCCTGCTAAGGTTCTGATTGATTATACACCACATATCCAGTGACAGGAATTGTTTTGTCAGACGCTGGTACATGAGAGCTAATAGATAGCTCCTTATTTGTGAGTGTATTTTTAATCATTTAATGTTCTTGCTCTTGTTGCATACAATATTACACTATTTTGTTCCTTCTGTTGCTTATTTTCATATTATGTAATTTATCAGAGTTGGTGAAAACTTTGAACTACCTGCTGTACCTATTTACATTATCAAGATTTTTGCTATTTACCAAGAACTGACTTTGGGACTATTTTGTTTGTATTATTTATGTGTGACACTACCTTTACGCACTAAATATTAACACTACTGTATTGCTAACTGGTGCAACCTGTTTTCTTTTCTCTCCATTTGCTCAATTTTTTTGGATTG